TCTCCTTAACGCACCCCAGGATCCCATTGGCCTTCTTGGCCACAAGAGCACACTGCTGCCTCATGGTCAACTTGTCGTCCACCATGACACCCAGGTCGGCTATGTCAATGGAGTTGGAATTGATGGAATCCTTTTTTTTTTTGAGAGAGAGACAGAGAGAAATATTGAGGGCGATACAATTTAATTATATGTGAAATCGATCAGTGTAAAGGATTAGGTGAAGATATATTATTAACAGCAATAAAAACTCATTTGATTGGAAATACGAAAGAAATTAAATTTATAATTTCAACTTGAGCAGATATGGGATGCTTAACTGAAAAATACTACACGAAGACATTGACAAAAAAAAATAAAAGTAGATATTCCTGTCAGTAAATCAGATGTCCCTGCATCGCTAGTTCTGTTCATTGAAAAAAAAATATATAAATATACTAAAAATCCACCAGATGGCGCCCTGGAGCCTTGATACTGAAATGTCTGTCCCAGGAAGGACGAGTAATTGCGTAGCAGGCTACAAATCCAGTCTGTGTAAGAGTACCCAGGCTGCGCTTTGCTTGGCCAGTGACTGGTATGTCAGTTTTTAATAGGAAGTCAATGACTTAGGGAAGCTTTAAGAAAAAAACAGGATAAGACAACAATTAGGTTAGTTTTGGGGGACTAATAATCTTGCATGATTCGTAGTGACAGTGGCAATACTTGGGATGTACATTTCATGACATTTGGAGCATTTGGCAGGATTTGCTTTTGGCCCCTGATTCTCCCAGTAGTGTTTGCATCTCCAGGAACTAATCTGATTGGTGATCAGCATTGTCATTTTTTATTGCAACATTATAAACGCGAATCATGTGTTTTATTATTATTTTTTTAATAAAACACTTCATCTATAAATATGATACTGAACAATTGTAAGTTTGCTGTCCTTCCAGAAATGCTGTCACCTGCCCTAGTATGATTAGTGGCTGTGGTGCCCTTCCCCAGCTCTGTGTTTTTTCAGACATAGCTGCAGTGTCTTGGAGGCGTAATGACCTGTGGGCACCTGGCTGTTTGTATGATGCTGAATTTCTCTTCTGCATTTCCAGCCAGTGAGTGAATTTAGTTCACTACAAAGATAATACAAAAATGCAACTTTGTCCATGTAAACAGGTGGTAGTGATGCCAGAGAAACTTGACTGGGAAGGCCTGTGCCAACGTAAAGAGCAGTAAAGCTTTTCTACAGCATTGCAAATGGGTCTGGCAAATTGTGCTAACAAATTGGAAGAATGCACAGGTTGTAAATGGGGCAAATGAGGTGACTCTAAGCAAGCTGACTGTATTATGTTGCACTTCATACTCTGAAAAACCTCAAGGAAAAGCTTCAACAGGAATTAAGGATCTATAGGGGAGTGCCTCAAGAAAAGACAGCTGTTGTTAGTGTTAAGAGGGAAAAATATCTAAAAATATCTTTTTGCCATTTTTTTTATTGCTCTTCTGCCTGAAGATACTGAAGAAGATGAAGTAGTCTTCTGATCCTGCCAGTTCTTTCTTTCTTAGCATTTGTCCTGTTAAATCACCTAAAGAATTGCAATGTGATTTGTAAAAACATATCTATAATGAAATAAAGAACATTCAGACATTTAGACTTAAATTCTTGTTCAGATGAAACTCTATAGAAATCATGTCACTTTTGCGGAGACAGATGTTTTTGCCCTGTAGTGCTGTTTTCTCAGTTCTACATCTCTTACCATTTTTCTCTGGAAATGTATTAATGTTTTCAGCCTGGAGACCTAATCCGTAATCTGAGGATCTTGTCAGTTAAGTGAGAGATTTCCAAAAGCAATTGTTCGTTTGAATGAAAGATATTTGATTGTATCTTTCCTGGTGGCTTTTGGAATGTTAAACTAAAGCTGTAATCCTGCTGTCTGATGTCTGCAAGTGAGTTTCAGGAAGGCCGGCACTTAAGGAGCGTAAGGAAGAGGGATCACATTCTGTTTTCTTTTGTCTGTGTTTTATATTGCAGTTAGAGGAATATGTTTTTCCATTGAAAGAACAATCTTGAAAAAAATAAAGCCTTTACACAAAATGTCATGGAAAATAGACTCCCTGCCTTCCCTTTTCCCTTCCCCCTGCCCAGAGATTGAAAAACATTACTCTTTTTTGTTTTGTGGCTGTGCTTTATGATTTTGCTTTGGCTCATGTATGGACTTATTTGAGTATCATCAAAAAAAAAGTTGTTCTCATTGCACTTCCATCTTACAGGAATGAAACAATACTGCATATCTGTTGGGAATTTCATTATTTTGTAAACCAAAGCAGCTAAAGAGTAAACATAATACTTGATTGTTTATTCTGAACGAAATGTCCATAAATATTCACATTCCTTTGCTAGGAATATCCTTTGTTAATTCAAAGATAAGCTTTTAATTATTTTGAGTCAGAATATTGTATATCAGCATTTTCAGAAATGATGGAAAAATTCTTCTTCATTTTCTCCTTGAAAACAGAAAAGTCATCAAACAGAAAGCAGAAAAAAATGTCATCAAAGAAAGACAATTGCAGATCTATTATTTTCCTGCCACCTTTCTCATGGAGCATGCTCTGTGTCAGACACTCTTTAATGTCATTGATTTTCTTAGAAGAAGCACTTACTCGTATTTGACCGTCAATAGGGGCATCATCTACCTTTAGACAGATCAAGGGTAATAGTCATTATTATGAGTTGATACTCATAAGGAGGAGGTTCGTGTAGCCATTTCCATTTGAGTACAGCAGCTCTAAACACTGAAGCAAGTGCATCTGCAGCAGTTTAGGTAATCTCCAATGTATTATGCCATTAGTAGTCCATATCTTGAAAAGCATTTGAGTATCACTACCTCTGAGTGATTTAATATCAGGTATCTCTTGATACCTGTATAATATCCATGAATAATGAAGCATAAGAACAGATACAGACAATTTTACAATGTTAGGCATTTTCCAGGTTGTCTTAATCTAAAGAGAAAAAGTCTGCTCTCCCTTAACTTCCTGCCCGGTTTATGATTTAGTTTGGCAGCTCACAGGATTCTCATTGAAGTAGTTCAACTGTTTACCATCACATCCATCCACCCACATAAAGAAATCCCACGATAACAGCAGTCATGGTTATAGTGAAAAACAAACAAACAAAAGAAGAAAAGAAAAAAAGAAGGAAAATAGGAAATCAGGGACTCTTTTGTGAGAGCCATGACAGAAATATAGCCTTCATGCTCTCTAAACTGGTGCAAGTAGTAAAAAAAATATATGCAGTGTGGGCAAATTCCCTCATCTCCCAATCTCTCATTTCATATCCTCTTTAATTTACCTAAACCCTCTAACTGTATGAAAAATTTCTGAAATGCATCATTGCCATTTATGTAAATGTAAATGTTCCATTAATCGCAAAGTTCTCATCATTATTTTTACCATCACTATCTCCCTGGAAACAAATGTAATAACCAAATCCCAAGGTGTTCATCAGTCTACGCTGAGGCAAATTGCCGCTGAAGCCAGAGGAATTTGCTTCAGTCAAGACAATGTGGCATGTCTATGCCATCAGAAAGGTGACCTGTGGGGCCTTCAACATCACACACACTCTCTAAGGCAAAGGAATGTGCTGGATGTGTTTTTTTTTTTTTCCCAGAATATCTGCACTTCCACTCGTGCCAACTCCACCAGGACTGTGCACAAACCAGAGAGTTGCTTTTATACCAAGTAGGACTGGGATGGAAGTCCCTTGTTTGTGGAGCGGAGAAGATATAATAACTGTCACACTCCCATTTGCTCTAGAGATTACTTTTTCAGAACACTACTTATACAACCATAATTAGACCCCATGACCTATAATTAATGCATTTGTATTTTTATTTCAACACATTTGAATTGGGCCTTTAGGAATGGTTTCTGATTCCTATGCAGGTTAACCAGGTAGCAGTCTGTGATCACTCTAAGATGCAGGCAGTTGAATCCCATTCAGCACAATTTCACAGTTTACAGATATGTAAACATGGTTAAAAACTACTATCATTTTCAGTGAATAGAAGATGCACCTCTTTGCCGTATTTGGCCCTGGGAAACAAAAGCACAATGCCGATATAATGGCTAAGCTGGGAGAGCTGGATATGTTCAGTCTAGGGAAGAGAAGGCTAACAGGGGGAGTAATTGACTGTCTTCAACAACCTAAGAGTCATTATGTAGAAGACGGATCCAAGTCTTCTTGTCTGTGACCAGTTAGGATGTCAAGCACTGGATCAGGTTGCCCAGAAGTTCCCTATTGTTGGAGATACAAAAACAGCAACAGATAGTCTCCAAAAGTTTATCTGACTTAAGTTATTCTCTGATTCTAGATTGACAGCTTCATTATAAAAATAGTAATAATAATAAAGGGAGTGATATAAAACAGGGCTGTAATAGTATTTTATGTTCCAGTTCATACCAGTGAAAACTGAAGAAATTTGTGCAGGTATGATTGTATCCTACAGTAGCCATCAATCTTTCCTATGGGCTGACAAACTATTTATGTATCTGTATGGCAACCATCAGCAGAAGTATCCTGGATGCCTCAGGGAGTGTTCAGAAAGTTCTACTAGCGCTGCTAGTATAGGCTAGACATCACTATACTCCTGCTCTGGGGCCGAGTACAGGCCCCGGCTCCTTTGGGCCCATTTGGCTCCCTCGTGGAGTGTGACATATCCTGACACCCTCATAGCTGTTCTCATTTTCTGTGCACTAGGAATGGAGGTCTGCATTACGTGATCTCTTCATGGTTAAGCTCTCTGCATAGCTGTTAACTTCTAGCAGCTCCAAGCTTTTGTACCCTCCTCGTTCATAACTAACATGTTTACTCAGCACAACACCAGCGTAATGCACTGTTGTACCTTGCAAAGTCATAAATCTACAGACAGCTTCGTTGAATTGTGCAATTAGAATAATTTGCACTTACCTCGCAGGCATCATCCATATTTTACACATTGTAAGTATTTATATTAGCATGTTTGCATGGCTTTAGAGATACATGTTTTTGTTTTGTTTAATTAAATGGATTTCTTGTAAATATGTCCAGCTATTTCTGATAAAGTCCTCACATCAATGAAGAAACTCAAGTATGCTGAAAGAATATGATATGATTTCCTGAAGTATATCAATGAAATGTGTTTTTTGTTTTGTTTTGTTATGTTTTG